TCCGAGGCCTCCCCCTGGGAAGACCCCAAGGCCTTCTTGGCTTCCTTTGAGCAGGTGGCCCAAGCCTGCCATTGGCCCAGAGGAGAGTGGGCAGCCCGTCTCCTCCCTGCTTTGAGCGGAGAAGCTGAGGAAGCTTTCCAAAGCTTGGAACCCAGAGACCGGGAAGACTACACCAAAGTGAAGGCCGCCATCTTGAGAGAGGAAGCCATCAAGATGGAGGCGCAACGCCAGTACTTCAGGCAGTTCTGCTGCCGGGAGGCGGAAGATCCCCGGAGGATCCACAGCCAACTCCAGGAGCTTTGCCACCAGTGGTTGAAGCCGGAGAGACGCACCAAGGAGCAGATCCTGGAGCTGCTGATCCTGGAGCAGTTCCTGGTCAGCCTCCCATCGGACCTCCAGAGCTGGATCCGAGCACAAGGAGCAGACACCTGTTCCCAGGCGGTGACTCTGATGGATGACTTCCTGTTGAACCAGCAGGAGGACGAAACCAGGAAATGGCAGGTCAGTTTTCATTTCTGGAATTATGTTATGACGCGGGGGATTGGGTTTACAGGCAGCCCTTGACTTACGACTGTAACTTGAAGCCAAATTTTAGAATAGAATAGAATTCTTTTATGGGCCAAGTGTGATTGGACACACAAGGAATTTGTCTTGGTGCAAATGCTCTCAGTGTACATAAAAGAAAAGATACATTTGTCAAGAGTCAAGAATCATAAGAATAGAATAGAACAGAACAGAACAGAACAGAACAGAACAGAACAGAACAGAACAGAACAGAACAGAACAGAATAGAATAGAATAGAATAGAATAGAATAGAGTTCTTTTTATTGGCCAAGTGTAATTGGACACACAAGGACTTTGTCTTGGTGCAAATGCTCTCAGTGTACATAAAAGAAAAGATACATGTGTCAAGAGTTAAGAATCATCAGGTACAACACTTAATGATAGGGTACAATAAGCAATCAAATCATATTAGGAAACAGTCCAAATAAATCATTAGGATACAAGTGGCAAAGTTACAGTCATACAGTCATAAATGGGAGGGGATGGGTGATAAGGAATGATGAGAAGCCAAATTTTAGAATAGAATAGAATAGAATAGAATAGAATAGAATAGAGCAGAACAGAACAGAACAGAACAGAATAGAATTCTTTATTGGCCAAGTGTGATTGGACACATAAGGAATTTGTCTTTGGTGAAAATGCTCTCCGTGTACATAAAAGAAAAGATACATTTGTCAAGAATCAAGAATCATCAGGTACAACACTTAACGATAGTCATAGGGTACAAATAAGCAATCAAATCATACTAGGAAACAGTTTATATAAATCATAAGCGACAAAGTTAGTCATACAGTCACAAGTCGGAGGGGATGGGTGATAAAGAGTGATGAGAAGATTAACAGTAATACTAGTGCAGACTTTGTAAATAGTTGGACAGTGTTGAGGGAATTATTTGTTTAGCAGAGTGATGGCTTTCAGGGAAAAACTGTCCTTGTGTCTAGTTGTTCTGGTGTGCAGTGCTCTATAGCGTCGTTTTGAGGGAAGGAATTGAAACAGTTTATGTCCGGGATGTGAGGGGTCCGTAAATATTTTCACATCCCTGTTTTTGACTCGTGTACTATAAATACAGTATTTCTCATTGCTAAACAGTTTTTCTATTGCTAGACAAACACATTGTTAGAGTAACTGAGTCATGTTCAAATATCACAACCTTTTTTGCCATGGTTGTTAAGTGAATCATTACATTTGTTAAGTGAAGTATGCAGTTGTTAAGCGAGTCCTGCTTCCCTCATGCACTTTGTGTCAACTCATAAAATATTTTGGGGGTGTGGCTCGAGACTCATGATTTAATTGGGGTAACTGCCGGAATCCTGACACTTTGCTTGTTAGATGGTTGCAAATGGCGATCCTGTGACCCCCAAAGGAGGCTGTAACCATACATGCCTGACACCCAAAGTTTGCTCATATGACTGGAAGATGCTGCAAAGGTCATAAGTGTGAGCACTGTTCATTAGTCACTTTTTTTTCAGTGCCGTTGTAAGGTTGAACGGCCATTAAACAAATGTGTCAGCTTTGGAAGCCATAATAACACCAGAAGCTTCCACGCCGCCACATTCTTGAGCATGGGAAGTTGGGAGAGGGGAATTCATGGAGCGTATGTGGTTAGACATAATTGTTGTGGTTCGCCAATAGCTTGTGTAGACGGCAGCGGAATCGGGACAGTGGGGAAGAACGGGGATCAGTCAGGGAGTCTGGAGAGGACTCGGACAAGGGTCCTGCATCCGATGCAGGGATGGGGCCAGGACCATCTGGGAGTGGGTTGCTGCCTCCGGAGCCTTCAGAGTCTGGCAGCAGTGAGGCAGAGGACCCAGGGGAGCCTGTTCCCAGTGTGCGTATGCGCAGAGCTGCTAGAAGGCGAGAGCAAGCTGAAGCAGAAGGGGCGATTCGAGAGTAAGGCTTGGAGGTGATCACCCCTCCCATAAGGGATAAAGGACAGGCAAAGATGATAAAAGCTTTGCAGGAAGCAAAGTCATTTGGTTCAGACTCCTTCTTGAAGCTCTTCGTACTTCGGTTGGTTTTTGTCCTAGTTTATTTGACACTTCTGTTATTGGCAGCACTTCACAGAAAAGAAAGGTGGGTGCTTATCTCGAGGGACTGTTTGAGATTCATTACCGGCTAGGATTGAAAATCATTCCCAGCGTTGCAATAAAACAAGACTTGTTTTTAAAATAAGCGTGTGCGTAATGACGGTCTCGGAACCCTTGGTCCGAACAATAATAGCATTCTTCTTTAAAGTCAAGGTCATGCTATTCTTGCACCTGGCTGGGGAGCAGTCGTGGGGATGTCTCAAGTTGGGGTGAATGGCGATTGGGGCGTGTGGTGCAATGAGGGGTGCGGGGGGGTGGATTTGTAATTTTTTTTTCTTATCGAAACCCGGAACTTTCAGATTCGGGTTTTCCAAGGTGTGCCAATATAAACTACTCTAATAAAAGGAAACTTTGAGGAAATGCCTGCCTCGGAGTTAGTTTTTAATTGGAGCTGGGTTTTTCTGGAATGTTGACAGAATGACTGTAAGTCAAGGATTACTTATACACGTAAACTTCCCAAAGGTGCTTTTTCAACAGGTAGCTGGACTTTCTTTTGCTTGAAGAGGTTTGAAAGCATGGTTTGAAAGAGGGCTCAAAGAGGCCATCTAGAGCTGTAGTGGCGCAGTGGTTAGAATGCAGTATGGCAGGCTACTTCTGCTGACTGCTGGCTGCCTCAGATTGGGCAGTTTGAATCTCACCAGAGCTCAAGGTTGACTCAGTCTTTCATCCTTCTGAGGTCGGTAAAACGAGGACCCAGATTGTTGGGGGCAATAGATTGACTCCGTAAACTGTTTAGAGAGGGCTGCAAAGCACCGGGAAGCGGTATATAAGTCTAAGGCAGTGGCGGCTAACCTTTTTGGGGCTCCTGTGCCCAAAATTGCATGCGCATGCGTGCACTCGTGTGCCAGCACCCAGAATGCAATGCACGTCCCCCCCCGCCCCCCCCGCATGCGTGCACAATCCCCCCCCCGCCACTCCCTTACCTGCACTGTGCCTCCCAGCTGATTTGAGGCTGATTTGAGGCCTTTTTTAGCCTCCCAGAGGCTTGGAAAAAGCCTCTGCAAGGCTTTTTAGGTTGAATTATAGGCCCGTTTTGCCACTTCTGGTATTACAGGAAGTGACGAAGCGGGCCTATAATTCGTCCTAAAGAGCCTTGCAGAGGTTTTTCCAAGTCTATGGGAGGCCGAAATGGGCCCTGAAGCCAGCAGAAAAAATCAGCTGTGAGGCGCGTGCATGCGCAGTGAGGGAAGTTTGCTGCAGCTTGCGTGCTGGCACAAATGGCTCTGCGTGCCGCTTGTGGCAGGCGTGCCATAGGTTCGCCGTCACAGGTCTAAGGCCTATTGCTATGTCAAAATTGAACATAGATTTGGTATGATTATATGATTTGTTATAGAATAAATTACCTAAATTATAGTTATCTCATAAAGTATGAATGAATAAAATTATAGTCAAATGATTTTTTAATAATGATATGAGGACATATAAGTTTGGATTGATAATAAGAGTTATTATGTAACATAATCGTAATTGAGACTACGAAATGAATGCACAAAACTGATGAACCAACCGACACACTGTTTGTATATATGTACGGAAGAGAGCTGATGTTTTTATGTTTTGTTTGTTTTTAAAAATACCAATAAAATTGTTTTCCAAAAAAAAAAAAAAATTGAACAGCCCTCTCAACGTAGATATGACAACATCTACCTCCTGCTTACAACAGTCCTTTCAGTAGTCCCAAGAAGCTTCCACACCCATTTGCACTGTTCCAGGTGACCTTGAGGGCACAGATAAACTTCCAAGTGACTTCAACAACTCTCTGAAAAAGAATGCAAATGATCAGCTGCCTGCAAGGAATATAAATCTTCTCCAGTTCAGTCAGAACTGAAGAAGCTTCTTTGGATGAGAAGCGAAACTTCAAAGGAAAAACTTGCCTTCTGAAAAAGCACGTTTGGGACAACCATGACCCTGGAGGATTAAGAACCTCCAGAGACAATTGGCAAAGGATTGTGAGAATCTGGCCAGTGTGTTTTATGGCTTACGGGCTTGCATGATCATCCGACAATAGTTTACAGAACCAAGCATGGTGTTCTCTGCAAACCTAGCCAGAAGTTAGTTTTTTTGGCGTTACATTTTAGGGACGGATGGAATCTGTAAAATCCCTGCTGAATCTCTCCAACCCAGTCCTCGTAGTGCCAAATGCAACTTCCCCACCCTCCAGATGTGACGGGACAATCTCTCTCAACATTTCCTTGCCAACCTAACATTCCTCTGTGTCTCACAGTGGCCCTGCAAACTGGGTTTTGTGTTTCCAGTTATCCCCTCTCGAGAAAAAAAAAAAATTAAGAAAGTAGTCTTGCTCTTTTTTTAAAGGAAATCCTAATGTGTAGCAGATGTGAACTGAAAGGCAACCACTGGATCTTGGTTGTATATTTCTATCCAGGCAGCTCACTTCTAAATCTGGCAGAAGTTTCCAGCTTTTTTGAGGGGGTGGGGGAGGCAGACATGTCTTAACACCTTCAGGATAGTTTAGATAAAGAAATGCATAGGATACGGTGTTGAGCCGTGATGGTGCAGTGGTAGAGAATGCAGTTGTCAGGATTCCAGCAATCGCCCTAATTAAATTATGATTCTCGAGCCAAACTTCAAAAAACTTCAAAGGATTCATTAGCGGCGACATACTGGCACTGCCCTGTATGAAGCCAACCATGGCATATGTAATTTACAGTCCCCTGTGACCCTGTTTCCCCTCTCCCCTGCCCCCCCCAGGTGTTTCATAAACCACATTCTTCAATTGAGCACATTCATGGGCTGGGTGTCACCATTCATGCTCTCCAATTAAATATATTTGCAGGCAAAATCTCTGGTAGTTTAGTTGCAGTCTTTTAAAGATAAGAGCTGGAATGTATTTTCGCTTACAAACTGCTGCACTGCTCTTCCAAATTTCCTTCCTTCCCCTCCCTCCCCCTTTTTAATGGCAACTATTAAAACAGGCCTAGGAATGTTTTATGAGTTGACAGCAGTACTGCAGGCTGACTCTGCCCACTGCCAGCAGTTCAATTCTGACCGGCTCAAGATTGACTCAGCCTTCCACCCTTTCAAAGTCAGTAAAATGAGGACCCAGATTGTTGCGGGGGCAACAGGCTGACTCTGTAAACCACTTAAAGAGGGAAAACAGTATGAAGCGGTATACAGGTAGTCCTCGACTTACAACAACAATTGAATCCAACATTTCTTTTGTTAAGTGACAAATTGGTTAAGTGAGCTTTGCATCATTTGACGTGACTTTTTTTTTTTGCCACATTTCTCAAGCGAATTGGTGCAGTTGTAAAATTAGTAACCTAGTTGTTAAGTGAAATCTGGTTTCCCCATGGACTTTGCTCGTCGGAAGGTCCCAAAAGTGGGATCACAAGACTCCAGGACAGTGCAACCGTCATAAATGTGAATCAGTTGTCAAGCACCTGAATGTCAATCACGTGACCATGGTCATAAGTCACTTTTTAAAAAAGTGTTGTTAGTAACTTAGAACAGTCACTAAGTGAACCGTTGTAAGCCGAGAACTACCTCTTTGGCATGATCGAATGTCATGAGGCCTAGATACTCAGAATTTTTGTAAAAAGGAATACTAGAAATAATGCTATGAGGATAGATCACTGATTCTAGAATCTAGAGTCCTCTGGTGGTGGATGAAGGTGCTGTTAGTGGACCTTGAAATCAGATCCAGTCAAAATATAGCAATAGCATTTAGCACTTAGACTTATATACCACTTTATAGTGCTTCACGCAGTGGTCGCCAACCAGTGGGCCGGGGATCACTGATGGTCCGCAAGAAAATTTTGGTGGTCCGCAGAGAAATGTCACCCCCAAAGCAATTAATCCAGGCTGCGCAGGAACACAAGGCTGCGCCGCCCACATGGCCCGCGGGAACACAAGGCTTGCGTCGCTTGCATTGTGAACAACATGAGGTAGTGAGGGGAGTGGCGAAAGAGCGGAGGGCGGGGAAACTTCCCCCTGGCCACTGGGCTGCTTCTTTCTTCTTCTGCTTTTGGCTGCAGGCAAGGAAAGCAGCAAAAGTCTTTTTTTCTCTCCCCCAAACTCCACCAGAAATGAGTCTTTGGGACCCTGCAAGGCCTCCTGCTCCAAGGGGCTGTGCCGGCACGACAAGTCTCACAAAGACTCATTTCTGGTGGAGTTTGGGGGAGAGAAAGAAAGACTTCTGCTGCTTCTGCTGCTTTCCTTGCATGAAGCCAAAAGTCTCTCTCCTCTCTCCCCTTGAGAACGGAGCTGGAGACGGTATCCTGCGATCCCAAATAAAGAATGATCGATCGGTAGGAAAACGGGGTGGGGGATTTTCCTGCAGACTTTTGGGGGGATTTTCTGAGGGTCTAGTCTGCGGGATTTAAAATGATGAGTTTGGTGGTCCCTGAGGTCCAAAAGGTTGGCGACCCCTACTTTACAGCCCTCTCTAAGTGGCTTACAGAGTCAGCCTGTTGCCCCCAACAATCTGGGTCCTCATATTACCCACCTCGGAAGGATGGAAGGCTGGGTCATCCTTGAGCCTGGTGGGATTTGATCTGCCAAATTGCAGGCAGCTGGCTGTAAGCAGAAGTAGCCTGCAATTACTGCACTCTAACCACTGCGCCACCAAGGCATAGGTAAGTAGCCTTGTCTTAACAAAGGACTGGGAAATCGTCACTAAGCCGCATGGTCATAAAGCGGAAAATCATGTGACCATGAGCACTCACTCGCAGCAGATCTAGCCATTCCAGTTGCTGTTTTTAAGCAAATACCTTGCAGTCGGTAAGCGAGAGCCATCGTGACTGTGATTTACGAATTCCTGCCAGCTTTTCCATCGACTTTCCCTGTAGGAAAATAGAACAGAACAGAATATACAAGAATATTTGTACC